TAATAAATTCCATCTCACTCTGATTTAAAACTTATATCATATAACTATTTATATTTATATTATATAATGTGCAAGAAATATTTTAAGAAATTAATGATAATATTAATATTATAATAATAATAATAATATAATAATATATATAATAATAATAATATTAAATAATAATATAAATTAATTAAATAATATAAATTAATTATTTTCAAAATATGATAATTAATTATTTCAAAATAATTAGAATTATAAAAATATTATTGACATTTTGTATTTTATATTTTATATATTTTATATATTTTATATATATAATTTATTATATATTATTTTATTATTTTATTTATTTTATATATTTTATATTTTATATTTTAAATTTTAAAATTTATTATTACATATATATTTTTATTATTTTTGATTATATTTCTTATACTGTATTAAATATTTAGAAAAATATTATAACTAAACTTCATATAATATAATATTTTTATTTTAGTTTCTCAGAAATTAGTTTCTCAGAAATTATATTTATGTTTTATATATATTTTTGATTATATTTTTTATATTGTATTAAATATTTAGAAAAATATTATAACTAAACTTCATATAATATAATATTTTTATTTTAATTTCTCAGAAATTATGTTTCTGCGGTCTGTTGAGAAAAATAAGAAACATAATATAATACGTTTCTTGATTAAAATTAATTGATTAAAATCTTGATTATAAAATCAAATTTTTTATATTTTAAAAAAACGACATTTGACAATTGAAATAATTTTAGTAAGACTATATCAAAATCATATATAGAATGTCTGTTTGAACGTGCAAATCGCTCTGTGAATCTGACTCATGCTACGTTAGATGCAAGTAGAAACGAATAGAGGGAGAATATTTATTGAATTTTTGTTCCTAAGCACATTCTATTTTAAAGCCACAGTGCATAGCGATTGAGATCCGTACATTTATTCGAGCATTCGATAACAGAACATTCAAATAGATAATGTCAACTCGTTTATGAAAATAAGATAATGCATATAAAATTTTTGATGATTTTCATAAAAGAGCTTAATAATTTATGATATGACATAATCATCAATAGCCATGATACTATTTATAGGTAAGAATATGAAATCATCAAAAGCAACAATGAGTTGTTAGGACATTGAAAAGCAACTTGTACGGATCATTAAAGGAGCAAAAGACAAGTTGTTATTATAATAATTGGTAAATACGTCAAAGGGATCACACGTTCCAACCTTTTCTCGAAGGGTCTTCTCTGACTCAGGGATCTGAAATGCCATAATTTCTATTCAAAGTCTAAATTTTGAATATCAAATATTATTATGCCAGAGTCACAGTTATTCTTGTTATTTGTTTATTTTTATTTATTGAATCTTCTATCAATAAAATTTTATTATATTATTGACTTACATTTCCATTCTTCATAATATTTGCCACAATGTTGCTGTTTATAAATTTATAAAACAAAAAATATCATACAAAAATAAAAAAAAATGAATTTACGATAATAAGAAGGCAAAAGTAAAGAGAATGAAATAAAAAATGAAAAAAATAATAAATAATCATATACCTTGTTTCTAAGATTTGTTAATTCTGTTCGTAGTTGTTGAGTTGAATCAGATATAGTTAAACCATTTTCTAATTCAGCTAAATCCTTTTGAAGTTGATTCACTTCACGTGCTGACATAGTACTCCATTGATGATATTGCATAATTGCCTAAAATATAAAGACAATTAATACATATAAATACAAAATATTATAAAAAAGTATTATAAATATTATAAAAAATTATTATTTTAGTATATTTCACATATACCTGATTCAATTTATCTAATGTTGGTTCTTCAGTTTGTTTCTCAGGTAACTTTGAGTGAAGATGATGCAATGATTGCACATGAGCTGCTAATTGCACTATACGTGCAACAAAGGACTGTAATTCATTTTGACTTTTTTCAACCGCATATTGCGATTCTCGTAAATTTTGCGTAAGATGAGCTTTTTCAGATTCTGCTAATTCTAATTGTTTTTCTAATTTCTTTAGTTCATTTAAATGAATCTCAGAGAATAAATCAACTTGTTTATCAGTAGCAGAAGTACCTGGTTCTTGAGTTTTTAAATCTGCTTCAATTCTACGTAATGCAGGAGAATCATCTTCTCCATCACTACATATAGTTTGATCTTCCGTAATTCCTCGAATTGAAAGTGCAAGATTACTAAGATTATAAATTGATTCGCTATTAATTCTTTGATCCAATTCTTTTTTAAGAGCATACTTTGCTTCCCGCTCAGCTTGTAAGGATTCAAGTGCTTCTTCCATTTGCTTTTCAGCAATTTTTTTTAAATTTGTTAATTCTTCAACTTGACTATTTAAAAGTTCCACCTCTTCTGTTAATCTCCTTATTTCGTGTTTAGCACCTTCAAATTCTACTTGACTGGATCGTAAACCAGATACTTGTTTTTGTAATGAAATATTTTCATCTTCTAATTCTGAATAATCTTGTAAAAGTCGAGCTTCACGAAATCTACATTCACGTAACATAGTACGTAAAGATTTTCTTTCTGTTTCTGCTTGTTGATGATCTTTTCCAACTTCCTCTCGTTCTTGTAATGCATGATCACGTTCTGCTTGAACACGTTCTAATTCATGACGTAACTAAATGAAACAACATTAATAAAAATTATATAACATAATAAAATTATTATTTTTATATTTTTTCAAAAACTATTTTTTCACATACTTGTTTTGTTTCATTTTCTAATTCAATAATTTGTGTCTGAAGAGATGTTCCCTTGCAGCACTTTCATTAAGAAGAGTTTCTTCTTGTTCAATACCACTTTTTGTAGTTAATTTTGTAGTAGTCTGAAATTTTGCTAAAGCCTAAAAAAATATAAAAAATCATTCATATAAGAAACAATACTATTTAAAAATCGAAATATTTTGATTATAGTAATAATTCAGTTTTATTTGATATTAATAAGCAATCTAAAAAATAGAATATAATTTTATTTGTCTTATTAGAATATACAATAATTAATGTTTATAATTATAATCTGATATATTATAATTTTTAAAAATAATAAATTTTTATGCTAAAGAATTAAAAATTACATATATTATTAATCATTATAAAAACTACTAGATAATTTATGTATATTAAAATATAAAAACTATTTGAACTAACCTCTTGCGTGATTTCCAACTCGTGTTTCGTGTTTTCGTAGAGGGCCTCGAGATCGTTGCATCTTTGTTGTAAGGCAGATTTCTCTTCGAGCAAAGCAAGACCGTATTGAGCAGATTGAATTTTTTCTGTAGAAGCTAAATCTAATTCGCGTGAAAGTCTCTCAATTTCAATCCTGAGCTCCTCTATCGTGACTCCTTCTGTCGTGGCCATTGCTATATGAACTGATTATTTCGCTCCCTTTACCGACAGATTCCTTCTCGTCGTTACCACAAATAAATCGGAGCATCGGAGGTCGTAATATATTTTGAACGTCAAGGCATCATGCGAATTCGTGATGCAATCTTCTTGGTGTGCCCACTTCCCGAAGTCTCACATCTTCTGAAAATTCACGACCGTTTGACAGACGTGAGATTAAGGTGAGAGGGCACGGGAAACTCACACAAACCGGATACATATTCCTACACATGTTCCATGTTCCTAGATTCTCGTTTCGTTATTCCATCGTTCCGTTCTGTTATAATAGTAACATGACATTGTAACTTTTTAGTTACTTATTAAATAATTTTTTAAACAATCCATAGCATATATTCATTTTGTTAAATAACTTAAAAAAATAATAATAAATTAAATTAAATAAGTAAAACTTATTTAAATCAAATAATAATATATAATATATAAATTTAATTTCAAATATTCATTTTTCAAAAAGATATCTTCACATCTTCATAGATATAAAAACTTAAATATTATTATAGATAGTTAAAAATTATTTTAAAGGATATTAATAATATTTATAATTATAATTATTTGAAAAAATAATTTAAAAAATGTATATGATCTAATAGTTACAGTTGTTATCAATCATTTATCTTTTTGTAATTCAGTTTTTTTTCTTAAAAAGAACTATTACTGTGTATCATTTCTTGTATAACTACATGAAGTAAGTTTTATTAAGCACTTGGATATGAAATTATTATATTATTATAAAGTATGATATGAAACGAATAAAACCCAAAATAACATTTTTACAAAAATATTAAAAAAATATTGAAATAATTCCACAATAATATCTATAAAATAAACTGATAACTATTTTTTATTATTATATTATTAGTTATATATCAGTTAGATATTAATTAAAATTATGAAAACTTATCAAATATTTAAAAAAAAATACTATAATATATGCAAAGGATTAACAAACTAAAAAAGAAATTATAGATTTACATTTTATTAATAAGTGATCTCCTCTTTCAACTGAAACATAAATAGTACATGAAGTATATTCGTATATTGTACTACACTTCCTTAGTCATAGGTGCAACAATATAATAGATGATTAGAATCATCTGATAAGCTTTATATGGGGAATAAAAAAGAAAAACAAGATCTCGTCTTTGCCTCTCCGTACACATTCTATTTCAAAAATTCAGTTTAAAAACATAACTTCAAATACTCCGCAATCCTTTATTACTTTGTAGCTTATTTTCTTTTTTTTTCTTCCTCTTCATCCTCTTCTTCATCTTCTTCCTTTAAGTATTAATAGATTAATATAAGTCGAGCCGTGATCGGCCGTACACGGATCGAATTAGTTCATACACTGTAACAGTCGTATTCTTTACAATATTCATACGTAAGTCTTGTAGCAGAGACAAAAGCGCAGGTGCCCTATTTGCACTCGTTTTTAATGCTCATCTGAACCTCCGGTGCCACCAATGAACCTCACACCTAAATCGTATATCTTCAAGGTATGTTTTTTCTTTCACCGATATCCTACATAGTAAGACATCGATAGTTTTTTTGTCTCTTTTTGTTTTTTTTTTTTTTTTCTTATACGATATATATCATTTATCCGTGTCCATAAATGTTGAAGTCATACAACATATTGATTACAGAAACGAAGAACAAAATTACTTTCATACACGAATTTTACTCGGTTTTTTTTTTACATCTCATGTATGCAATGAGAGCACCAAAGGTTACGATCCATTAGCGAAATACAATTTTTTGATCCTCCAAATCTCGTCAGACGCACTAGCGCACTGATTACTACTACCAAAATCATGTATGAGATCGGTTTAAGTCCCGAACAATTAAATGTATAAAATGTTACAGGACACCTTTACTACACGATATATAACGCTCAAGGCGCTTTTCATCAGTTCCACCGAGTCAGGCACGCCTGGCTTCTGAACATTAATACACATTGTCGCTGCTGGTAAAAACATCATCAGTTTTCCTGTATACATGTAATGCACATGACCATGCATGGTCACTTATCACTTAATTTCAAAAAAAAAAACATTCTTGAAAAGTTGTATAAGTACATGAATAGACATGTGCACACATGTTCATGTCAAATCTACCTAGACTGAACATAGATCCGTGAACGATCTTAATTTAAATTGAATTGTTCGTTCAGTAGAACGAATTTTCAATCAAAATATCAGGGATTTAATCAATTTATATGCCCTAACATCACTGCTCGCATTTATAAACGGTATTACCGTTCAAATTTAATTGCAGTCTATTTTGCTTATCATTAGACATTTTCATTCATCACATTCTTTTTCCATTTTTCTTTTTTTAGAAAAAATCTTGCATATCTTTGTACTTGTAATAACATAATAGCCTGCTAGTACCACGTTCATAAAGAAATATTTTCAAATTCGTAACATATTTTCTTTTTTTTTCATTGCCTCATGATCTATAGCAAATGTGCTTGATAAGAGAAAAATTACTAGACAAATCGTATCTAAAAATTTCGTTCTACAACTTATAAAAAAGATTAATGTAGTACTTTATACATGAAAATATAATTTGTTCTTTTTTGTGATGTATAAATAAGAGAATCATTGGAATTAGTCACCAGCAACGACCAGAGTATATCTAGCTTTTTACAGTACAAAATACAGCTCCTGCATATATGTATGTATATATGTATACACATATGCGCATATATATATATACATATACCTAGTAACGAAATATTTCACCATATGTAAGGATATAGTAAGGCAAAGTGCATTTTGAAAATTCGTAACAATCATTGACAATATGAACAATGGTGATCCGTGATATAACAATTATGATCGTACATATAAAATATTCAAACTTATAGATCTCTGTGTTTATATGTATATATACATATATACGTCATAGTGATCGTTGACGATCATATTGGTATTCATTTTTACTTAAAGAACCTGATATACGAAACATGCATATTTTTCTCTAGTTTATGAAAATCTAATTAATAATATTCCAAGTATAATTGTATATAAATTCGCAAATATTGACAATCTTACAATTGTGCAGTTTTTGTTAATTTGAAATTAGATTTAGTTATAAAATAAAAAATCCTCATTACATCCTTACACATTAAAAATTGGCGTTACTAAACCTTACTTATATGTATTCAGGGCCGGCATGTTCATTTCCTTTCCCATTACTTCTGAACTTTTTTTATCTCGAGTTGCTAGAGAGTTCGAGAGGGAGGACCGGATACAAGATGCGTGGATGTGAGAAAGGAATATAAATTAAATTCATTATGATCTTTTTTCATATTCATTATTATATCCCTTTCTTTTATCAAACAACTATCCATTCATAATTTAATGGATTGATAATTTTATTTGAATATAAATTATTAACAAATATCTCAAATTCCATTAGTCAAAGCTGACAAAATATGTTATAAATGTTACATTTGTAAAATTTTTTTATGAAATATAGTAATAATCCATACATCTTGCATCACAAAACAATACATGTACGAGATAGTTTGAAGGTCAGGGGACAGAGGATTCATGTCTCTACTCTAATTCAATTGAATGTTTATAATATTATTACATCGTATAGTGTGTAATGCTGGATGTGTCCTATGTGTAAATGTACTTTGTGCGCGCGCACGCATGTATAGTGTAATGTAACAGCAATTAAAAAAAAAAACAAAGACATCATAAGAAAAAACCCTTGCGAAGAGAACAACGACATGTAGAAGGGAAGGGAACTAGGAGTAAAATGGTTTTCCGAGAGTTGGATATGGGGGAGAGATGGAAATTCGAACGACTATGACAAAACGCATTTTTAGCAATTATACGCATCAACGAGACATACGTTCGCACATCCCTACCTAGCTACAATCCCCGGTAGTAGCGCGCGCGACGGTAAACGGCTTATCGTTAAGCGAGCGGCACGGATTCCGGTTATCTCCTACTTTCTGTCGTCCTGATCACATTCACGGCTTAAATGACCAGTCTTGCCACAAGTATAGCATGCCTTTCCTCCGACTTCAGTGCAATTTCGAGCAAAATGACCTGTTTTATTACAATTGTAGCAACTTTGCATTCCAAAACGTCCAGAATCATTACCACCTTCTGGACAGCTACGTGCCATATGACCAGTCTTGTTACAGTTATAACAGCTCATCTCAGGCCCCTGTTAAAAACACTCTAGGTCATGACATTATTTTATTATCAATATATTGCACAAAACTTTGCAATATATTAATATAAAATATAAAATAAAAAAATTATATCAAACTTTGATAAAGCATAAATATGTTAAATATATTAAAATTTAAAATTTAATATATATGTTAGATTATGCATTAGAATTATAATAACCTGTTGACAGTCTTTTGCAATGTGCCCTACACCTTGGCAACGATAGCAAAGATCTTGATCTTCTTTACATTCTCGTGCAAAGTGTCCAAATTGGTTACACTTATAGCACTTGTCGCGACCACGCGCAAAACCACCTTCTCGGTCACGGCCACGATCGCCTCTACCACCACCTCCACCACCTTGTGGACACTCCCGTGCATAGTGACCCATCCGGTTACATTTATAACACGCACTTGAACTCATTTTTTATAAATCTACAACAAAAATAATCAACATATTATACATACTTTATAATATAAAGACATGCATATTTTTGATATTGAAAGTTTTTAAATTATATTAATAAATTCAATTTAAACTCATAATCATAAATAAAAAAAAATTAGAATTTGTGTTTTCTTACTATTCTGTTTTTTACATTTATAAATATATAAATATAATTGAATGTAAAATAAACTGGCATAATTTTAATATTTTTATATTATGAAAAAATTATAAAAACAGAATAAAAAAAAAGAAGATTTTATAAATTGCTAATTATAAAATTAATGCAGCATCTTCGAGGCTATATATCAGTAATATTTTCACTTTTAATATACAATATTTTCACTTTTAATATTACAAGTTAAATAATATATAAATTATAATATATAAAATAATGCATGCTAAAATATTGTTATAAATAACAAATTAAAATATAATATTCTAGATCTGAAATATTTGAATACTCTAAAACTTCATTAAAACTTCATAGTATTAAATAATAAAATAATAAAATGATATTTACAATTCACAAGTACATATTTAACAATGAATAATAATAACTTCTAAATATTACTTAAAATAAAACAAAAAATGAAATTTGGAAAACGAAATATTGTGATTGAAAAAATTTGAAAGAAAGTTATGAAAAAAAAAAAAAAATTAAAAAATAGAAAAAATTTGAAAATATACATTTTTTATTTTAGATCTGTAAACTACAACAAAACTGCAAAATATGCAATTAGTAAAATATATTATAGAATATAATAAACTATTTTAAATAACAATATATATAAAATGGCATCATGTATCCAATCCATTTCTACTAGGAGTATGTAGAATACACGTGTTTGAGAAAAGCATCGTGCACATGAAAGTTGTTTCTATTTCAAAAATACTAGCAACACATCAACATTTTACTAGAAAAGTAATATTCAAATCATTATGTACAAAACCCTTAGAAATCGCCGTCTATCGTACAACGTGGCTCTCTTGCCCCCACTTTGCAGTGGTGGTACGCAAGTACGCCACGGCGCGAAGATGGCATCCAAGACTGACGCCGTACTGCGCTTTTTTTGCCTCGCTAAAGAAAAGATTGTCGAGGGGCGAGGTATACATATACGATAAAACACAAAAACTATCGTATTGAATGGTAAAAATAAATTTCCTCCGTGATACAGGCAGATGAAATAAAATCTTCATTTACTGCAGAATAAAAAATTAAACCAACGAAGTCGAGGACCACGTGTGGAATCGCACAGAAAGAACCGCGGACTCGCTATCGCGACATACAGGAACATTCTTTAAAGACGACATAGCGACTTACCTCTGGTGCTTGATGGAAACGCACAATAAATCCTCCTTTCGTTGGCTTTGCCGACACGTCAGGGACAATAGGTCCGCGGGAAGTACTGTTTTCCTGGGAAAACTCGAACCGATACTCAGCCGAATGACTGCGGCGACCATTGACTACGAAAAAGAAGACCAACCAATCGCCGTTATGTTGCCCGCCAAACTCCGTTGCAATAATGAACGCCACCTCCCCTTCTGCGGCTATTGAATCGACTAACCGATTTAAATCGAAAACTATTAATTTTTTCTAATGAAATTCTATCTTTTTATATTTTATATAATATATTAATTATTTATTAAAATATCATGGTTTTATTGATATATTGATTAATGCTGAAATGAGAGAAAACAATATTATTTTGAGAATATTGATGATCAACGTCGACAGCTATTGGTTCAATATCATCGAATCTGTTTTGATAACTCATTTCAACCAATCATACTGCACTTAGAATGCATTGAAATTTAATTTGAAAAAAATTCGTGTAAAATGCGAACCTCTACATCGTATTAAAAAATGATGAAATAAAATCGATTATAAAAATAGAATTGTAATTATGATATATTATCATTAGTATATTATATAAAAAGGAACGCTTTATAATAAAAACAATAATAATTTAGATTTAGTTTAATATTTCATGTATATAATCATTATATTAATAAATGTATTTGTCGCTTATTGGAAAGTGTAATTTATAAATCTCATATATATATTTATATATATATATATATGAACAAGAAAATAAATTTTAGGTATTTAAAGATTAATAACGTAAATATTATTTTATATAATGATTATTAAAAAATGATAAAAAATTTTTCATCGATAATTGTTAATTATAAATAAAAAATATATTATCTTGATTTTTTTTTATATATATGTATAAATTTATTATAGAACAAAAATATTAAAAGTATTTAAAAAAATATAGAAATAATTAATAATTAATAAAAAATAATTAAAAATAAAAATATTAAAAAATATTAAAAATAAATTATATTTTCTATTATATATACTAATGTTATCAATTTATTTATATATAAATTATGAATATTATGTTTAATAATTAATAATTAATAATATTTTATGTAATCGTTTCTCAGTTATCAAATTAATGTAATTATTGTAATATTTAGTTTAATATTACTTTGATATATATAACATGATAATAATAATGTTAATAATACCTATTATATATTTTAAAAAAATTAATTTAGAAATACTATTTAAAATAATTTATTTTTCAGCTAAATACAATATAATTATTAATAATTATTATTAATATAATGCATATATAAATTTTTTTTTCATATGTTTTTTAAATTAAAATTTTCTAATGTTTATTAATATAACCTATAATTTTTATAATTTTGTTTCATTTTCATTCTTTATTAATTGTGCCTTGAAATTATTAGAACTTGAAGTTAGATATTTTTAATTCTACATATATATTTCTAATATAAACAATTGCATGAAAAATATGCTATGAATATTAGCCTTTAACAATTTTCAATTGACATAAAACATATAAAATGATATCACTCTTTAAAAATTATTTTTTTTAAAAATCACATATTTTTTTTTAAAAATTATGTAATTACATATATATTGAAAAATATTTGTATAGTATTGAAACAAATAAGCATATACACTACGTGAAACGTTAAAATATTTGAATAGTTTGAATTTCTAAAAATTAATAATTAAACAAATTATATTTTCAATCTTAATCATAGAATTAAATAATATTCATTTTAAATCTTCAAATTAAATTTTTAATATATAATTCTAGTAGTATTTTAGTAATACATAATAATTTGAGGTTAAGTGTAGCATGTTTTAATAAATAGGTATATTTATGAAATATAAAAATTAAACACAATGTCTCTTTACGATGATTTTGATAAACATCGAACGTCAGAAAAAGTAGCTGGATGGTCATCCAGTATTAAGTTATTACAATCTCAATTACAATTAAAAAAAGCCGCGACTACACAGGTATGTTCTTCACAATTTTTTATAATATTTAATTGTAAATTATTATTATATTTTATTATATTTAGCCGAAACGTGAACAATATAGAAAGGCAACAGCAGTGCTAGCACCTGTAATAGACTTAAAATCAAAAGCTAATAGAAATGCAGATAGAGATGACGATGGTCCACATAATAATCCACTTTCATCTGGTACTGTTAGTAGTATTGGAGTAGGTGGTGAATTTGATTGGAATGTAATAAATGAATATGATCCTATGTGGCCTAATGAATATGATAAAGTTGTTAAAGAATTAAGAGATTTACGTGATAGAGAACATGATCAAGAGACTGAAATGCGTAAACGCAGACGAGACAGTTCACGTTTTGAAGATACACAGGTAATATCCATTATAATTCTTTTATATTATATATATATTAATTAAAAATATTTTATTCAAAAATGTATAATTTAACTTTATAATGATTAATAAAAATATTTGCTTTAGACTTCTTCTGGAAATAGTACAATGATTCCTCCTGAAAGAGATGAGGAGAGAACTCCTACATCAAGAGGAATTGCAGGAGGAGCAGCTATAGCTCCACCACCTTCTTTACAAGAATCTTCTGATCTTCCACCTCCAGCACCAAGACCTCCAACTAGCATGGGATATGCTACATCATCAGTAGCAGCAAAAATAATGGCCAAATATGGTTTCAAAGAAGGACAAGGACTTGGTAAGAAAGAACAAGGAATGTCTGTTGCTTTACAAGTAGAAAAAACCAGTAAACGAGGTGGAAGAATTGTTGGAGAAAGAGAACAACTTATGCCACCACCACCACCTGTTGCTGCCTCTCCACCCCCACAACAGCAAATTATTCCTCCACAACCTTCAGAAGAACCTAGTATTACAGAAATAATGAAATGTCCAAGTAAGGTAAGAGAAAGATTTAATATTTTAATAATATTTGAAATTTAAATTTACAGCACATAATATAATTTATTTTATAAGAATAATCATAATAAAGTTTATAATCATGTAATAAATATTAATTATATTAGAGATAACAATAGTTAAATATAATAACAATTTATTACATATTAGATATTCATTACAATTATATTTAATGGAAATGAAAATAATATTTCATAAAATATATTTTTATATATATTTTATATAATATATAAAATATATATAAAATATATATATATTGGAAATTTTTCATTAAAAAATATATTAAAATATATTCAAAATTATTATTAATTAGGTTGTATTATTGCGTAACATGGTTGGTCCTGGAGAAGTGGATGATGACCTTGAACCTGAAGTTAAAGATGAATGTAATACAAAATACGGTGATGTTGCGCGTGTCATTATTCATGAAGTAACAGAAGCTGCTCCAGAAGAAGCTGTTAGAATCTTTGTGGAATTTAAAAGAATAGAAAGTGCTATTAAAGCTGTAGTTGATTTAAATGGACGCTTTTTTGGTGGAAGACAAGTCAAAGCAGGTTTTTATTCCAGTGAAAAACTTGATAGTTTACAATTAATGGATTAATTTCTTATTTAATAATTTCATTTAATAAATGCATCTTAACAAATACAACAATATGGAATCAATGTGTTGATTATTTTGTTAAAAATATTATATTGTAATTTTATTATAAGTATATTAAATATATGATGAATTCTAATTATTTAATATAAAGAGAGAATAAAGAATATAAAAATATTTGCATAATATTCAACACATTGAAAAATATTTCAATCTATAACTTTATTAGTTAAATAGGTGTAATAATAATTTAAATCTTTCATATATAAAGTATTGATATATTGTTCTTCTAATTTTAATATAAATTGTATGCACAATATAAGTAATAAATAAGTAAAAATTTATAATCTTATAAAATACTAATATTAATTTCAGTAATAAAAAAAAGTAACAAAAAGTAAAAAATATAAAAGAATATGATTTTTTTTTTGTAATGAGATAAATATGAGATAAAAATGAAATAATGATTATGCTAATAAATATAATTATAATATATAAATAATTTAAATTTTAAATAATTTTAAATAATTAAAATAAATTATAATTATATTGCAATTTATTTATATAAATTACATATTAAAAATTTAATACTTAAAAAAATATTGCAATTGATGTAATGAATGTATCTTGTTAACAAATTGGAGTTTATAAAATTCGATTTTTAATTTTTATTAATATTTTCTTATCACAGTTTATATAAAATATATAATAAAATTGTAATTCAAATTTTTTTTATAACATATAAAAATCCAATAATTATTACTTTATTTTTTTACTGCTTATTAAATCTTCAATTGCTTCATTTAATTGAGCATTAAATGCAGCAAAACTAAAAGTTTTTATAAATCTATCTTTACCTGCATTTCCAAATTCTTGAATATATTCTGGGTTTTTAATTAAATAAGCTATTTTTGAAGCAAATGCATCACTGGATAAATCAACTAAAAATCCAGTAACTCCAGAAATTATAGATTCTTTCGGCCCACCAGAATTATGTGCAATTACTGGTTTACTCATATACATTGCTTCAAGTGGTACAATACCAAAATGTTCATTTGGAGGTGTATATAATATAATTTTACAATGATATAAAATAGATATTTTATCAACATCTGAAGGAGATCGAAGAAATATTACTTTTTCTGTTACATGTAATTCATCAACAAGTCCTATTAATTCCAAGTAATATTCTACATTTTCTTCAACTCTTTTATCATATCCACCAGCTATAATTAAATATACTTTTTTATATTCTTCTTCTGTCAAATATTTTTGAAGTTCTGCCAATGCTTCTATTGTTAGTTCTAAATTTTTTTTACGTTCATATCTGTTAATAGACAATAATATAATACTATCTGATGGTAATTTTTTATCAAATATTCTTTCTAAGGATATTATTCGAGTTTTATCAAAAAAGTCAGTGTTAATAGAAGGATATAAAACTTCAGGTTCAATACATAATTTTTTAAAAGTATGTTTAAACACAGAAAGTGTATATATGCTATTTACAAATATTTTATGTGCCATTCCAGTTGTTAATTCTTCTAAATAATTAAGAGGTGCACGATATAATTGTTTACTAATTCCTTCTGATTGTGAAAGCAACTGATCTGGATAATGACAATAAAAAATTATATATGGAATTCGTAATCGAAGAATAGGGATGCATACAGAAACTAAATCACAGAATACAATATCTGGTCGATGTTCACAAAAAATGATATAACTAGCCGCATATATCTAGAAAAAATATAATACAATATAAATAATATGAAAATAAATTATAACACATGTCAAAATTTAACAAATAAACTCACCATACGAATATAAGCAAAAAATGCGAAAAATCTACCAAAAATATGTCTAGGCAACCAATTTCCCACAACTGTAACAGGAATTGTTCCATCTTTTGTTTCAGAGAAACAATGTTCAGGATCGTGATGAGTTGTCACAAAATTAACCTCATATCCTCCTTTCTTTAAAGCTAATGCAGCATCTATTACTAATCTTTCTGCTCCTCCGATACCAAGATCCGGATGAAGAAATGTAATTCGTGTCATTCTTATTAATTTAATAACATCAATAAATGACAATTATCAATAATGAATTAAAATGTTACGAATTACAATATCACGATCTACGATATCACTGGTCAATAGCGTAGTAAAAGTAAGTAACAATAATAATATCTAGTAGAGTTTTTTCTAATCAGATTTTTGTTATAAACTTAAAAATGAATATCGTTTGATTATCGATTGTTATAATGCTCATTTTCGCGTCGCCTTATTTTATTTATTTTTTTTATTATACATTTTTGATGTCATATCTTCGTTTTTGTGACGTGGAAAATGAGCATTAAAGTAATCGATAATCAGACATTTATTTTCAATTGAACAACGGAACAAAGAGAAGATACTTTCAGTTCGTTAAAATTTATTTTCAAAAGAATCTAAATATGTTGCTTCATCATAGAATCATACAAATCATAAAAAAAAATTAGTTGAATATTTTATAAAGTTATATATAAATAAATAAGTAAGTATTGTATAAAACATAGATATTATAAAGATATATAAAAATCATATTCAGCAAGTATATTTTAGCTAAAGTAATTTATTGATAACAAAAGAAAATCAAAATTTTGGCAATCTTTTGTAAAATAAATAAGAGATAAACAACAATTCAATTTTAGTAATATTTAAATATTTACTATTAATTATGTCAAATGTCACAAAGAATATTCTTATGGAAAATACAAAAAAACGCTTAAAAGAATTATTTTGTTTAATGGATAGTGATATTGATGGTTATTTAGATTATCATGAAATGAAAGTTGCATTGAAAGCTTTAGGTTTCTCAGTAAAAAAATCTTATATTTTAACCATAATACGAATGTATGACAAGCGTGGTTATAATAAAATTTGTTTTAATGATTTTTATTATGTCGGTATGTAACAAAAAATATTAAATTTAATGAAATAATGTTTTATTTATTATATTTTTAAAAAAATTAATGTATTTAATATAATAATATTTAAAATTTTTTGTAATATCTTATCTTATTCAAATTTTAATATTTATTCAGTAACAGAAATGTTAATTAAACGGAATCCTATAGATGAAATTAAATATGTTTTTAAGTTATTTATAAACAAATCTTCAATCAATAAAATAACATTGGAAGATTTACAGAAATTTAATCAAAAACTTAAATGTAATCTAATTAATGAAGAAATGGAACTTATGATAAAAGAATTTGATTTGAATCAAGATGGTTCTAGTAAAAAAATCTTTTATTTTATATTATATATATTTTATGTTATATTATATAATATAAAATTTTCATTTAATATTATAATATTTATTTTATGCATTTTATATTATAAATAACTTTACAAATTATACTTATATGATTTCAGTTGATCAAAGTGAATTTATGGATATTATGATGGATTTTACAATTTAAAAAACTTTTGTTTTCTCATTATAAACATATTTATAAATAATTATCACAATGAATTTTGGAGTTAATTGGGAAGAAGAACATAGACAAACATTATTAGAAGGAAATGCAATATTGGAACGATCTTCACAATCTATTAGCAGATCTCAAGCAGTTGCTATTGAAAGTGAACAAATAGGAACTGAGGTAATTTCTGAATTGAGTAGACAAGGAGAACAATTATTACGAACAGAAAGAAGATTATCACAAACAGATGAAGAATTAGATAAAACAAGAAGAATATTAAATATTATGAGACGTAGAGTTTTATTAAATAAATTTGTATTAATCTTAATTATATTATTAGAAATAGCCATACTTGGTGCTATTATATATAAAAAATATATAAAAATATTGTAAATATATATATGTAAAAATAATATATACTTTATATTTTATATACAGTATAAATATTCTATAAATACTTATTTTTATTTAAATCCTATGTAATATGTAATGAATTATTAATATTGTAAAAAAAATATGTATATGAATAAATAAATAAGAATACATATAAATTTCATTTAATTTTGTATTTTAATCTATATATTTCGATAAATTATTTATAAAATAATAAAAACAATATAAATTGGTATAAAATATGATATTAATATGATAAATTGATAAAAAAATATTTTATTCTTATGTATGATATTAAATAAGAACTACCAACTATATATAATAACGATCATATATTATCAATATATATAAAATAATCATCTCTCACTTTTATTATATTATAATGTTTTGTTAAAATATATATTAATACACTAAAAATAATAGAAGACCATTACTTTTACTTTTATCGAATAAATAAATTTTCAGAGAATGTTGACATTTATTTTTAATGTTGTCAGCACATAAACGATCAAAGCGTAGCATAGCACAATTATCTTGAACTATCATGTAGTGCATAGTTAATGTTGAATCAAATACTTAGTTAACAGTTATCGACGGGGCAGTAGAGAAAATTAGAACGACTAAAGAAAAGAATCTTTAGCGCATTTTGTGAATTAGTATATGATCAGGTCATGGCGTATGTTAATGTCGCTGAATGGAAAACTGAGCAAGTGTGCGAATGGTTGAAAGGTGTGAAAAATCGAATTTTCTTTGGAATCAGAATATTGATATATTTTCAAAAACAAATGAAATTTATTATTTGCAAATGTAACGGATCGAAAATTGCGTGTGAAACGTATACGCCCGCATCTTTTTTGTCTCTTTCTTTTTAATCAATTATTTTCGTTTATGTATAAAATAGTTAATTTATTTATTCTCATAATTTTGTACATTTTTATGAAAAGAATCTTCAATGACATTCAATCTTTCCTAAAAGTATTTCATAACTATAATAATATTATTTAAATATTCTATAATTTCTAAATCTACATTAATATTTATGAATTTTTAATTATTATTAATTCAAAGTAAATAAAATATAAAAGAACAAAATTATACAATTATTTATACAATTATCAAATGAATAATTATTAAAGATAAAAATATAAATTTTTTTTATAATTTTATTTAAATTTATTTGTTATTAATTAAGATATTGTTTCATATTTTTTTTAATCTTTTTAAAAAATGATTTTAGGTTTAGATAATTCTGTTCTTCCGTATGTGCATAGCTTTACAAATCATTGTGTTAGTGGACAACAATTATTAAGTTTGAGACCTGAAGATCTAGAACATCTTGGAGTATTAAAACTTGGTCATCAAGAAATTATTCTTGAAGCTGTAGAATATTTAAGAAATTTTCATTATGAACTTGATCGTGAAAATCTTCAACTATTGGCATTGCGATTGTCTTGTCAAGCACATAGTTTACAAAATGAATTATCTCGCCAAACAGATTCTAAACCTGTTACAACTCAAACATTATCAGATGTAGCATCAGTTATAATGGCTGTAAAACCATTAATAAGATGGCTTGATCGACCTCCCTTTAGTGGACAATTGGAATATAATGAAAAGAAAGTTGAATTAATGAAACTAGCTTTGGAAATGGCCACATGTGCACAAAGAGATAGATTTGCAGAAAAACCAATAGAAGAAATTAGAACAACTTGTGGACAATTAGCAAAATTGGCAGATTATATAATACAAGAAATTTCTGATCCTATGATATTACAACCTGCTAGTTTAGATCTAGCAACATTAAAAAAAAAGCCAGGAGATGATTTAGTAAGTTTAACATAAAATTAATTTTTTTTTTCTATTTTATTTTTTATTTTTAGATATATTTATAATTAATAATACAATAAATAATATATATAAAATATTTAACATAAATCATAGAATAACATATATTATAATCATTATGGAAAAAATTATCTGCTACATCCTTTATTGATAAAACTATAACCATTCAACATAGCTTAACTTCCTATTTAGATAAATGTTTTGTATCATGCAGTAAAGATATTGTAAAAATCATAATTTTTATAATAATTGTAAAAAATCAAAATTGAAAATTATTTTATAGGGATTTTATATTTTGCCATCTTTTCATGGAGCTCATCAAATTGCTGAAATTAAATTTGGATCAGCTGCACATCAGTGTGGTAAAATGGAAGAAGGAGATGAAATTGTTCAAGTGATTTTTCTTTTTCTCAATTAAATTTTTTTTTTTTTAAGTTAACTTAAATATGTAATTTAATTCAAATATATTTCAGGTAAATTATCAGACTGTAGTTGGTTGGGAACGAAAAAATCTTTTAGAATTATTTCGCGAAAGTCCAGCAGAAGTATTATTAACATTGAAACGTAGACCAAGACACACAAAAGTATATGGTCAAATTTACATAAAACCATATCGACTTCCAAGCAATAAAAAAACATCTTATACTACACGATGGCAACACAATCTTCCTTCACCAAGACCAGAATTATTAACTATACCAGATTTTACAATGCCATTACCAAGGTGTGTATTTATATTTGTATATATTTATATTTTTATAAAAATATGAAATTCAATTTTTAATATAATATAATTTTTAATTTTTTTAGGCCAAGAATTCCAGGCCAGAACCTACAAGTATTTTAGATACTGTTAATATTTTAGATACCATGATTATAGATAGCAGTGATTCAGATAGTGAAACAGAACCACCTTTATCTATTCGATTATATTCTACAAAACCAAGAAATTCAGTTCAAAGACGAGCTACTATAACTGGTGCTAGTCCTACTACTAAACATGGAATTGATATAGAACAATTTTGGAAAGAATTGAAACAAGAACATAATACAAGTTCTCAATTACGGGACAAAGCAGCATCTTGTGCTCATGGTTTAGATAATGTACCATCAACTATACGATCACAAACGTGTATAAATATAGAACAAAGCAAAAGAAAAAAGAAAAATGAGGGACAAAATGATGATAAGAAAATACAGTTTCAAGACAAATCTATAAAACATGATGTTTCTCAAATAGGTAATACTATCAATTTAATTCATGAAAAAAAAGATACATGTAAAATTATTCAAGAAGAATTATGTAGTGATATAAATATATCTAGACAAGTTTCTCAAACACCTGTTAATGTTACCAATAATAATAACTTGAGTGATATAAATGTGCCTTTAGATGAATGCAACAATTTTATTAGGGATAAAAATAGTAATAGTAAAAATACAGTAAGCAGTAAAGAACTTAATATAAGTAGTGGTAAAGAGAGAGGAAAATTAGATAAAAGTTATAGTACGCCAGCATATGATTCAATGGATGTAGACAATATAGAAGATAGAAAGCAAAAATTATTTTATGCATTAGAGTTATCTACAAATAATGTAAGCAATGAATTAAATAAGACTGATGTACAATTGTCTTCTTCAAATTTTGAAGATCAACAAAAATTAGAAGATATTGGTGATCAAAAACAAAGTATTCAAATAAATTTTGATGATAATATTGTTCAAAAAAATAATAATAAATATATTATGCAAGATAATGAAGAAAAAGAATGTTCTGAAAAATCATCTGAATATTCAATTCCTATATATAAAATAATTACAAATCACGAAATCAGTATAGAAAATAACCAAAGCAATAATGAATATATTAACACTGAAATAAATAAATATGATAAAAAAAATATTACAAAGAATTTGACTGTTGAAGCAGGAAACATGTCAATAATATATAATACTGAAATTTTTGCAAATAATTCAAGTTTAAATCATAAAAGCGAAGATAAAGTAGAATCAATAAATAGTTTTATAGAAAATAGTAATCAAAATAGTAATTCAAATTTAAATAAATTTGGAAAAATTCATCAGATGTTTAATGGACCAAATAAATGTACTTCAATAGAACATATGAAATTAGTGGAAAGAAAATCTAATACATTGCTAAAAGAAAATATTCAAGTTCGTGGACAAATATGTACAAATAATGACCTGAATACTACAGAAGATAATACAAAAATTTATAATAATGTTACTCAAAACATTCCTCATATTCATTTTTATCAAAAAATACAAAATGATAATGTAAAAGCTGAAAATTTAATTAGTCAAGAAAATGCAATACAATCTTGTGTAGAACTAAAAAGTGAATGTAACAAGAAATTAGAAACTAGATCTCATTTAATACCTCCAGATCCGCCACCACGTAAATATTATTCAAAATTAGCAATGGATACATCTATAACTAATACTTCAAAGATATGTGAAAATTATGAAAAATATATATCAGAAAATTTTAATGCTAAAAAAGATTTAAGAAATGCAGAATATTTTATGGAAAATCATATCAAAAATAATTTGTTAGATCATCAAGATAGACAAAATTATTTTGATGCTTGTAATAATTTTACAGAAAAATTAGAATTTATTGATGATGCTTCAGATAATGAACTTAGAACTAATTTGGATTCTACATATTTAGAATACAATGATAAGCAAGTAAAAGAAACTAAATTTATCTGTGATAAGTATGAACCTATTATTGAGAAATCTATATACACTAATTCAACAATGGAGTATTATAATAATGCTGAGTGTTACTCTCAAAATATGGATTCACCAGATGGTTCATGTTCTTCAAAGCAATTTTTAGATCATAAATCTAAAATATCTGAAAAAGAAAAAAGTTCTGAAAAAGGTGTAGTTAATAAAGCTATGATGGTGGCCAGAAGTATTGGATTACATGGAAGTTTAAGTAAATCTTCAAGTAATAGTCCAAGAAGTAATAGGAAACGAAGCATGTTATTTGCAAGTAATTAATTCATAATTACATATTTAATAAATGTATAATATATATTAATATACATTAATTTTTAAATATTTATTAATTTTTATATCATTTTTTAATTAGGGAAAAGAAATATTTCTGTTAAAGATATAGGCACAGGTGATTTAGAAGGGTGGTTAACATATCGTACAAGAGGTGCAG